GCCCCCTGACGGTTCTATCTGACTCTGAGTACCTACGTATTACAGATAAGTATTTTCGTTATAATTACCCTTATTTTGTACAAAATTAAATTAATATATTTTAGTTTGTCTATACTAATTACTAATGTTTTGTGTCTTATAAATAAACTATTATATTTATATATATTATATATTTTTAAGTATTGTCCTCTTCCGACACATGCATAAATTGTAATTTATTACAACTATAAAATAAAAAATGGTATCGTATCAAAAATAAAGTAAAATTATCAAGTAAACATTACTTTGCTTCGCCATTTTATTTTATTAGGTAAATGACGAACACCTTAATTTTTAATGTTATGATCTCTTACAAAAAATCTTTTTAAACTCCATAAACGAAATTTAGTTAACTCAAAACCTACAAATACTACTTTTTTACTATTGGCAAGATAGTAATGCAAATCTATAAATATCGCACTAAAAAGATTTTGATGTAAAATGTGACGAGACCATATGTCAAAAAGTTATCAGATCTCATGTAGAGCCAAACTTCTAACTGTACAAGCCTTAAATCTACAAGCCCTAACTACACAAACTCCACACCTTATCCTAAATATGTAGCTTGGCTGTTTCTTTAGTACAAAAACTTTTATATAACATAAAAGGCACGTCTTCTTTTTGTAAGTAGCTTATGACAAGATATAATTTATAACAAGGAGTCTTTATTATATCAATTTTCAGACCCCTGATACAAACTTCCCCCCTAGTTTAAGGGGTTGGGGGGTAAAAGTTCCAAGTTTTAGATTTTTTGTTGTTTGTGTACTAATACTAGTTGACTTACCAAATTTCATGTTTCCAGAACTTCAGTAAGTACCCTAAGAAGATTGATGATCATCAGTGAGTCAGTGACGTCAGTAAAATCGGAGTTTTTTTAGATATCAATAAAATCTTGAGTATAAGAGCTATGCAGTTGAAACTTTACATGTTTAGTAACTACTGAAATTATGTTGAAAATCCACTATTGAAATTATATCCCGAATATTTTGTTTATCTGGTATAATCGAAACCCAAGTTATGAGGGTTTAAAAAATCAACGAAGCACTTCAAGAAAAGGTAGATGTGTAGTGCCCTTTCGCTTTGCTTGGATCGTCTTAGCAGATTTCTCTATCAATGCAGTCAATAAAATGGTTCTTACTCATCAAAATCAAAAGTGTTTGTGCTTGACTTAGTTTAAAATTCCCGTCGTAAATTAACAATGATAATGTGACTGATTTTTATGTTTATTTTAATTTTATAGTTATATCATAAGATTTGTTTTACTATTATTTTCAGATATATAAGAATACAATATAAATTAAAATTATATGTATATTTAATTCTCAAAAAAAGGAAGAAAAAAATAATTAATCAACTGTTCTTACGATTTAGCAGAAACACGGTTTTGTCACGCCTAATACGATTATATAATACCTTTTTCTTCCACTACCGGTGGTTATGTCGGACTTTAATCGACTAAAAACCGCGCGCCATCTCAGGTACCAGTAGCCGGGGAACCAGGTGTACCCTAGGAAGGATATCGCTGGAACCTCGACGTACCCTGGGCCATCTACGACATGTATGTGGTGTGTTTCCGGTGGTGTTTGCGTTCTAAAAATTAACGTAACGTGCCTCCATAACGTGCCCGCATTATATAACACCTGAAATTATTACAGTACTGGGACGTTGGATGATGATAATAAATATTTTTATTAGTAGTCATTAGTGTTTAATATAAAAAAACGTGCATGAAAATAGTAGTTTAAGGATTGTTTATATTTAATCATTTATGTTTAATGCACTTTTTGTACGACTGTACCACAAGTTGCTTCTAAAAGAAAATCAACTTAAGTTCACAACTTGTACCTCTGTCATTGATTCTGAACTCCTTCTCTAACACTTTACATATTGCTTATTTAGCATTATTTCATTTTGGCGTGCCGCTATTTGTCTTTCTTGTTCCGCTGATATTGTATTGTTACCCCACCTGAGAATATCAAAATGCTGATTCTGTGATAGTCATAATGGATGTCTGTTTTCAGATTATTTGGAATAAAAGCTGCTAAAAAAGTAACCTGTTAGGTATATTTTTTATCTCTCGGGGATATCCTATGAAGTAACATAACCGAAGCTTATGATCTCCTAGGAAGTTCTATGAGCGAATCGTACGGTCCACAGTCCTATATGGGGTCCCTATTTTTCACCAAATAGTGTGGCTGCCTATGGCGGTCTAGATCTTCCAGGTTTCTCGGATACTTCTTTCTTACGTTCGAATTCCTTACAATACACTTACATGTGAAGGAACACCATGTGGTCTTGGTCGGTTTGTTCTAGTTCGATTCTGACAAACTACTTCTTAGTAAGTAAGTCTTTAAATGAGTACAGAATCACAAAAGGCACACAATCCGTACTAATGGGGGTGGAAGTTTCTATGGGCAATCAATAACTGCTGAACTAAATAAGATGAAATTTATGATGGTGACAGTTTAATTCTTGAGGAAGGACATAGGCATCTTTTTACCGCGATAACCGACACACGCGCAAAATTTAGTATGGTTATAATAGTATTATTTATGGAGACCAAACACCCACTAAAAAAACCTTCCAGTTTCAGTAACTTTTTTGCTGATACATTTTTTAGCCATTTATTATAATTTTGTTTAGTTTTATTTCCGTAACAAAGGGATTAGTGTTGTTGAGTTAAAAACTTTCATCCATCATCTCATCCACATCTTCAAAATATCTGATTATATTCTTTGTTGATTCTGAGACAGGTTCCCTTTCCTTTTGCGAGTCTGAGTACAAAGTGGTACAACAACACAGTAGTAAAACGTGGGTAATTTATGTAGGATTAGTCCAAATAGTAATTATAAACCCATAAAAAAGAATACTTTGGGCCTCGATAGCACTCGATACTATGGGCCTAAGACATACTTTTAAAAAGTGCTAGTTTCCTCAAAAAATAAAATCGGTATTTATAATGCACAGTGGCTTTTTTTTGCCATTGAATTCAAATAACCTCATAATTAAAAAAAACTAAAATAGCTCTGGCAAGCGGTTAGAATCTTACAAACATATATCCCTAGAGCCTACTCGCCACCATGAGATGCTATTTTCCTCCCTCAGCCTTAACCTGACAACTTTTTCTTTTTTTTTTCTTTCGTAACGTGAATTGTTTAAACTATTTAGTTGGTTGACAGATGGATATTAAAGTATAATTTTGTTTTGAAACGAATCCAAATTTCACATTCCGTGGTGAAATTTGTACAAAGGATTCTCTTTACGTATTAAAATATTAGTATAGATTTATACTGAATGGTTGGTACATGCAAAAAACTTCTGGTAAATACAGTGACCAGTAGCTATCATTAGAGAATCTTGTGATAACTCCGCTTTAAAATGGACTTATGAAACAAAGAAGTTCTTCCAAATTAAATTCCTTTGAAGCGGTTGGACACAACAAAATTATAAATTTGCGTGAGTCAATAAAACAATCATTAATATAACCACTACAAAAGCAAACAATAAATAATTAAGTCTTATATAAGTAATTCTAAAGGCGGAAGAATTTATATTGCTCTATTATAATTTACTTTTTAGTGGCTTTATTAGGTTTGTTGAGGTTCGGATGATATATTTTTAACAAGAATATGGCGGGTACTCTCAAATTGATTTTTTAGGTAAAATGGTTGAATTGTATAATTAAAATCAGCATGACCGGATGACTTGCTTTATTTATTATTACACTGGTTTCAATAAGTGTTTCTTTGAATTAGTAGAACATAAATTTGGACCGGTTAAATTTTAGAAAACCCCTTTAAGAGAGAAAAATTACCAAACAAATGAACATCGGTAAGGGGGAGTTAAAGATTCTGACAACACAATCAGAAAGGAGACTCTTTGGATTGGAAATAATTGCTTAATATTAATATTGTCCGTACTAACTTTTAAACTTTCGCGTTCCATGATAATTAATATTATTTTAACGGGAATTAACGCGATCTCTTATTTAGGGTATTACATACCTCTGGTTTGCCTGACATTTCGACCAGGTTGCACCGGCCGTGGTCACAGGCTGACTCATAATATTGTCCGCATCGCACTTTTCGATTGTCCATAAGAATAACACAGTGACAGTTAACTCTATAAATTTGAGATTTCTTGTTTTTGAAAAGTTGCAATCGTTCCATTGAGATCATATTCGTTTTCTTTGAGATCAAATAAAGTTCGTTTTAAAACCCTTAAACTTATAAATTTGGGGGTATTATAAAGAAAACGTCTAAATTGAGAATGAATTCAACTTTGACCTCTAATAACTTTTGGGCGAGTAGATTAATCGGAAAATTACATCATCATCATTAGTTATAAAAATCAGAACAAAAAAATATTTTTCCAGTTTTATTCTTATGGAAAATCGAAAAGTGCGATGCGGACAACCTTCTTATTATTATTTTTTTCAGATGCATATTTTGGATCTTTTGAGCGTTGTTCCGAGGAAAAAAAGTTTGTTTTTTAAATGCTCTAATTGTTTATCATTTTGCAGTTGTTGCAACCATGCTTTACCTATCACTAGTCTACTTTACCTAGTATTACTATTCAAGAATATCTATCTATCTATCTATAAACATAATATTTTTAAAGTCCCTAAGCCCTTTCAATGGTAGTATGCGTTTTTTAAAGTGTCTCAGTCAACTCTGACGAAAATAATATATACTTGTCTTTGTAATACTTACATGTTATTCCCTTTTAATATAGTTGCACAAAGACAAAGAAATCAGTAGATAAACTTGTTGTTTCAATACTTATTACGTAGAAGTTTATATGAAATAGTAATTCCCAGGAAAACAAGAAATAAAGGATAAAATAAAGGATATAATAATATAGTATTTAATTATAGTGTATATAAAAATAGTGTTGTTTTATATAGACTCAGAAATAATTTTCCAACAGCTACTTTAGTTTAGCTGCAGACGAGCTCAACGATGGACGTGAAGTTTTTCAACCCAATACTATTTGTGTCACTTCTAGTGATGCATACTATACCTTCTACAAACACGGAGGACCAATGTAAAACAGAACTTAAAACCTGCAGATTAGTTCTGAACGATGATGTCTTTGGAAGACCCGGTCCTCCGGGACCTGCTGGACCTAGAGGCTTTGATGGTTTGAAGGGCGACAGGGGAATGCCTGGTCCAGTCGGTTTGCCCGGACCACCTGGTCGCCCAGGCATTTGTGACTGCAACCTGTCGTGAAAGAAGGTAGCTCGGCGTAAGAGTACTTCTGAGGAATTGACTCTATTCTACAGGTCAGGAATCTACATACATATTATAGTGATTTCAGGTGCAATACTTTAACTTAATGAGAAAAAAATCTTTTAACATTCCAAGTAACTTCAATATGTGTACATTGTGTATAACACTTGAATCTTATTTTTTATTTATTTAACATTTTTGATGTGAACATTTTTATGAGAATACTTTAATTTCATTAAATTTCCTAAAATATTAGAAGACAACATCATCAAAATGGATCATTCGTTTATTTAGTCATTAGTTTATATAGTCACGTGTAATATCATTATTGTTGTTAACTGTTTAATTAACGTTCATAATGTTAGTTAAAACAAAGTTGTATTTCCTCATCGATGATTAGTATACTACAAGTTATTGAAACTAATGTGATCCTGTTAACTTTATAACTACACTATCATAAAAAAATTGCTTGTAATGTTTTTTTTTTATGTAAGTAATTATTTTTTTAGTTCCATAAATAAATAAATACATGTGTTTGTCTGTGCTTTGGCTTAAAATGCAGAAGAACCGTGGATAAGATTTGGTTTCAAAATAGTTTGCATACTACTACAATAGTATTATACAGATATTGTAGAATATTTTTTTAAATATCTGTGTACATGTGTGTGTTTTAAAAAACCTAATATATCTGTGTGGTGACGGATTCAGAATACGGAGTGTCACCACCCCTATTCATCCCGTGGGTGTCATAAGAGCCGACTAGGGGAGCAAACTACGCAGGAAAACAGCACTGCAAAAAGAGAAGGAAATCTTGAAACAAACCCAAAGTTAATAATAGTAAGCTAAAATCTCCTTTCTAAGAAGAGGCCTATGTCCGGCAGTAGACTATTTAAGACTGTTGATGATGATGAAAGGAAATAATTAAAAATGTATGTAGATATAATCACATGGTGTTCTGTCACAGGTGAATCTATCGTAAGGGAGCTGGGTCTACTCTCGGAATGAAGTCTCCGTCACTGATTACTGTCCTAATAACAATATTATACTTTGATTCAATAGTTACGTTTGTAGGTAACTATAACTTTTTTTTTTACTAATACAATTTTAAAATGTCCTATTATAAAGCTAAGTAATATAATATATAACCAGTAACCGAGGTAACCAGACTGCTGATAAACATACTTATATATTTCTAAATACATACATATTATAGATAAAGTACACCCAGACACAGAACAAATGACCATTCTCATCACACAATTATTTGTCCTGGGTGGGGATCGAACCCATGAACTCTGGCGTAGCAGCCAGGGTCACTAACCACTAGAGCAACAGGCCAGTTAAATAATGAATGTGTTAATTCTATGCAAAAAATCTCAAATAATAACAAATTTACGGAATACTAAACGCCCAACGAACACAAAAGTGTAAAGTTAGAAGAAAGAAAAATAAGAGCTGAAAGAATAAATAGAGAAAGAAATGATAAAAGAGATAATTACTGCTTGTTAGATAATTTTGTTTCAAATGTTGGGGAATATTATTTTAACAGGTGTTTTGCAATGTTAATTTCAACGTAAGTAAATGTAATTTAAAAAAATATATATAGATAAAGCACAAAAACAAATGAAAGGGAAAGGCAAACGAGTGAGATTCATCGATCATCATATCATAATATGTTCTAAATATTAACATCTTTAAATAATCGATTGTTTTAAACACACACACACATAACAGTACTTCGCATAGGACGGGAATGGTAAGCAGACACTTCAACCAATCTACTTAATCTTTGACAACTCACTGTACAAGGCAAGATCTTTGAAAAGAGTGAAACGCAGATATTTTTATTTGAGTTGTGCAATAATTTAAAATATTAATATATATATATTTCAACATTGTATTAATTTATAGTACTACACCTAGAGCTTGGCAAGTATATTTATGTTTCAATAAATAGCTTTTTTTAGTTATTAGCCTGTTACGTAGCAAGTCCATTAGGATTACGCTTTAGGATTACACTTAACAAAGTCAGATTAATATATAGATAATTACATACATTATTTCTATGGCTGATTGTGTACAGGGAGTATACGCGAGCATTTATATGTAAATGCATCTCAATTTGTATAATTATGTGTGTACACAATATTGGCGCATATAGACCTAATCTTTGTGTGTGTGTTTTTTTTTCTATCCCAAACTCCACATGAATTATTACTAATTTATATAATTCACTTTAACAAAATAAACATAATTCTATGAAAACTTGATTTACAAGGACTTTTCCTTGTGTTATAGTAGAGTTTATAACTCTGAGTAAACAATTATAAAAATGTGATTATAGACTGAAAACAAATATCAGCAAAATATATTTAGTATAATTATTTTTTTGGTGAACCGCTTGCCGAGGAAATCATTACGCAAGTCACTATGTAGCGTTGCTAGGCTTGCTTGGAAAAGCACACATGTACTAAGTTTGGACACAAAACTTTTACAACCAACCATCGATATAAAAACCTGAATAAACAATTTTCAGTGCCGAAAGAAAAGGAAAGTCGTCAGACCGATGGTGAAGGGGTAAATGGCATCTTACGAGAAGGCTCAAGGGATTCCCTCGCCTTCGACACAGAAAGCCGAAACCGCGAAATCTCCGGTTTTCATCCGTCATAATTTCAACAAAAGCCTACGCTTTTAAATAACGTTTTCGATACACAGTCGTGAATTTTTACAGCCTCAAACATTTTTAGAGGGTTTTTACGACATAACTTTATATCACTGTTATACTGTTACGAGCAAAACTTATTTGTATTTACGATGTTGCACCTTCGTTGTTCTAAATCAAATTTTTGTGATCGACCCCTTTATCGGTTTGGCTTTATAATATTTATTATGTTTGTATTGCTCATAAAAAGAAGAAAATGTTCTAACTTAAAAGTTTTTTTTTTATACTACTAAGTTGGCACATAGCCATTTGTCTTTCGTGATGCTGATACAAATGACTTATTATTTACTCTACAGTATTTGTAAAATTTTATGATTCAACTGTATATCCACAATCCTATTAAAAAAAAAATATCTCAACTATATGTTAGGCATGGGTAAGGTACTAGTTTTGTTTCTAGTAAAAAAAATTGTATTTATTTCTTTCGTTTCTATTTTTATTCTGCCGGCGTTAAAAATAAGGTATCGAATACTCCTCAGAAATATAGATTTAGAAAAAATAGATTTGTTATTTTTTACACAAGTCTGTTTTTTTTTGTTTTTTCGAGCTATGTCATTTACTCTTCAACGTATCGGTCTAAGCAATATATCTTGCCTCCGATTAACTTCTTTCTCATTTTTAATTAAGGCCTTAATAGTTACTAATAATACAAAAGAAAACCTTGAGCAATTAATACTAATAATATACATACATACTCTAATTTAAACTCAACTTATTTAAAAGATACAAAATTAATGTAATGTGTTATTTATTTCATATAATTCATTCAAAACTTGAACATTTATTCTTGAATCTATAGCTTATCAGATAAGCTTTTTACTGCCCTGCTTTTACAGATTGTGTCGTAATGTTACTAACCTTTAGAAACTACACAAACACTATCTTAAGTATATTCAAAGTTAGTAATCGTATAGCGAGTTTAATGTTACGTAGTTAAATACGTGAAAACAAATAAGCCCTTTAGTTGTATAACATTCATTGTAATGTCGAACAATAAGCTTCAATTTTATTGTAGCATAACCAACAAAAAGGAATTATTTTATTTTTAATGTACTCAATAACTTCAAGTTACATATTCAAACATGTCTGGCACTCAAAAAAGTACACATATCTCAAATTCAAGCTTCGATTGTTCTGCACAAATTAGAGAGACTGTCAAACGGAGTAACGTCACATTCATTAGGTAGGTGCCTACTGTGTGCAGTGCATACAGTACACGAAGTATGCTTCGACTCCGGGTCCGGATGTTTTGCAATTTTCTTTTTGTGTCACACTAAAGCTAGCTTTGATGGCACAGGCATTCTTTTAATGGGCATTTCATGGGAATATTTGCTTTGCTTATTCCTAAAGATAATATAGAAATATTATGAGGACCATTGCGGTCGTTACGGGAACAGTTTTTGTAAGAGACTTTATTTATATATTTAAAAATTAAATACTTGTTGGAATAAAAACTTATTTAGGTATATTTAAGAATATAAGGTATTTATATTTGAGAATATAAAGAATACAGTATTTTAGTGTATTTAGTGGATGCTCAATTAGTTTTTGATTATCTGAGGATCTTTATTAAGAAGTGAAGCGGCCTTACACTTTGGTGTCAAGCTGTCAATACTGAAATACGTACGTGTGTAAATAGTTTGTTATTTATAAAAGTATAATGTGTACTTATAGATTAGAATTAAAAAAAATACTAGAAGCATAAAACCATCACCAATTTGTAGATAAATTTTTAGTTAAGGGCTCAAAAGGCCTTGCTATGTATTTTATTTTAATTTTATACTTAGTTGGCGCCAAGAGATGTAATGTTTATATTAAATTTTAAAGTCTACATTAATATTAATAATTAAATATAGAATCTATGTCAATAGAAGTCAATCTACATTCGGTATAAATGGAAAGGAATACCCACAATATTATTTTTTTACTTCTTATTAAGTTAAGCACGTCTTTTGGTCACCGTTAAAGATTCATCTTGATTGCTTTCCTCATCCTGTTTTCTGTACTTCTGCTGTCCTTATTATCACACATCTTTTTTTTTCTGTACGGAAATCCCCTCGGATTCAACTTAGCGGTGGCAATGTCGGACTCGAACCGACTAAAACCGCACCCCGTCTCAGGTACCAGGGAAACCAGGTGTACCCTAGAAGGAAATCTCTGGTGCCCCGACGTACCTCGGGCCATCTACGGCGGACAGACGACCCCCCGTGTGTGGGAACCCCCATGTTCCCTCTGAGCTCCCAGAAGAACGCGCGCGCTCCACAACGCGCTCGCCCTTTTAGCTAGGGTGACAGATGGCTTCACCTGCCACCCCCAGGCCTGCGCTTATAGAGGACGGAGGTCGTTATGCGACCTCTGGCGCCTAAGTCGTCTGCGGTACCAATATTGTCACACCTAAACATAATATTTGATATGTCTGCATGTTGTGACCTACGCCGCAGGAATGTAAATAAATGGTGACTATGACATGAGGCCAAAGGATAGGCGTTTCTGCCGTGTTGCGTGTTCCATTTATGAAACAAAATAGTATTTCTAATAGTCATGCATTTCCTTCTTACACGGAAGCAGGAAGTGCTTTGTAATTTAAATAAAATGCATTTCTTACTTAATTAAATTTCCATTTTTTTTCTTCATTCTAAAGTGCTATGACGGTAAAATTTTGATTATATAAGGTCATTACAGAAAGATTAAACTATTTATTTTTATATAATATTAATTATTGACCCTTTATGAAAAAGCTCAACGTGCACAATGGTGCTATAATTTAGAAAATTACTAAGAGCTGTCATGGTTTTAGAAACAGCCAACTCGTACCTAAGATGCTAGTTTATATTCCCTTTTCATAACTTACTACTACTCTTTAAGCCAAAACTCTTAAACCGTTGACCAATATACTGTTGTGAATATACAATAAACGTTTTAAAAAGTTTTAAAGTAAGTACAGCTCTTTAAGTATACCAGCTGATATCGAATAAAAAAGTACAAATATGTTAGTACAGTCTTACTACGGGCCGAAGTATTTGTGAATAGTAACAATGAGAAATCGTTTTAGAACATTATTTTATCAGTATTTAATTCAACGACTGGATGGCGTAGTGGTTTGTGTAACGGACTGCTATACCAAAGGTCGCGGGTTCGATTCCCGTTCAAATCGAACATTTGTGTGCATGAACATTTAATATATGATTTGGTCTGGGTGTTTCTATGTATGATATGTATGTATTTAGAAAAAAAAGCCATAGTACAAGCTCTGCTGAGTTTGGAACTAGATAGCGTTGTGTGAATGTACCAGAATATTAGTATTAGTAATGTTTTTCCTTATCACCCTTATCATATAATCACATGCAGGTTCATTGACAATCACTTAAAATGTTGTGGCATAAGTAAGATTTATTTATTTATTTATACTTGATTTATTTATTTATCTATACTACTTACTACCAGAAAATACATTGCATAAGGCGGACTTAATGCCATAGGCATTTTCTTGCAGTCAACCTTGGCGCGGTGCAAAGATTTGTGTGTGGCAGGTGTATAATGAGATAAATTATTTAAAGATATGATAAGATCATCAACGTTAACGTACTAGACTTCTAACTGCTTAGATTTTTTACTCGACTGCCAAGGAAGGGTTATTTTTGCGCGTATCTATCGTGTGTTATTTGTAAATTTATTTATCATCTTGTATCTACAATATGGTTAGATAGATTTCGGAAGTTAATTTATTGTTTCACCCATCTCAAAACGCAAGTGTCCTTAGATGATTTTTGAACGGAAAAACAAAATGGCGGCCTTTTGGCGTAAAATAGTCATAGGTTAATTTTTAAAAAATAGATAAAACTATCGAGATGAGTATCAAAAACAAAAAATTAAAAGGGGACTACAAATAACAATTATGTATATAAGTTAAATTTTTCATTTAAATAAGTTTTAATCAATCGATTTAAAAGTTTTTGATAGCGTAAAAATGGGCCATACTTGTATATGTGTCGGACCACTTTAGTGCATTTTTTTTTTTTTTTTTTTTTTTAAAAGACAACTCCCGCATTAGGAATAAATCCTGTGTCGCGGGGGACTTTACAAACATACATGAAACGGACACAAAGAACACCCAGACTCAGAACAACAATTTGTGGATCACACAAAGTGTCGTCCCATGTGGGGTTTGAACCCACAACACTCGGCGTAGTAGGAAGCGGCGTGGCGACCGCTTAAACCACTACGCCATCAGTTACTTTTAAATTGTCCTTTTGCAGTCGCGTTTCTGATTTTTTTAATTATTACTTTATTTGTTTTGATGATATTGACCGATTTAACTTATATGACAGAAAGGTATGTAAATTAAGATGTTATAAATTAACCACAATCAAAAACTTAGAACATTTTATGTAAATCTTAAATATTTAAAAATAAAAACTTACCTATTGAAATTTACAAATCTAATTGCCTTCATTGTAGAAATTTACTATCCTCAATATACCTAACTTTAAACATGAACTCATTGCGAGCAAACCTAGTAAGGACGTTAACACGTTTGTTGAGCATGCATCAATATGCATATGAAAATGAAATTCTGTTCCAGCAAGCTGTTGAAGCAGTAAATAAGATCCGGAATAAATATCCGGTGCCAACTGAACCCAAGATCGTTTGTCTCGTTCGTTCGCAACGCGAGCGAGAGAGGCGGAGAAAGCACCCCGTGTTGATGACGAACTGTGATAGTCCTTACGGCTTCCCGTGAGGCAGTGATTGACAGTGCAATCCATGCACAGAGTGCTGAATAGAATTTAATATAAACATAATTTACAATTTTAGATATTTCATTTAGAAAATTTAGATATTTTTTTCTTGTCGAATATAGAAGTTCTTGTAGAGTTGATTCTTAGACGGCTTCTAGTCATCTGACCTAATGCGAAAATATACTTACGATTTTTCTTAGCTGTATTTCATGAATACTTATTTAGCCATTCAAATACCAACAGCCCTTTTCTAACGTTTGTAAAAATGTGAGTAACTTTTATTGATTTGATCATTAAAATTTACTATCCTTGCAATGATCTTACAATAACACGATGGGCTTGCGATAATAGCATTATTTACTTTTTCTTCATCCTCATAATAAACCTACTTCTTATCAACTTATAGAAGAAGTATCATATTTGAGCTCATTATAATGATCTAATATTAAGGTAGGTTTTTTATTAGTTGTTTTTTTGTTTTAGTTCAGGACACGAATTTTTAAAGCATTTAAGTTGTGAAAAAGAACTCCCTCGTAAGGAAAGGCCTATGTCCAGTAGCGGACTATTAAGGGCTGTTAATGTGTGACAATGTGAATTTATGAATGAAAAATTAATGACTGATTTTCAAACAAACTAACACTCCTCTTAATAGTAAGTTTTTGATCCTTGAATAAGGGTTAATTCTTAAGTAATTCGATCACGTCAGAATATTTTACTAACGCCATATCAATGCCAAATATATTGCTTCCAAAGAAAAAAAATTGTAAGCAATTAAACAGTGGGTGTAAAACAGTGTGCAGTACAACGTTACACCGGAAATAGAAATGTTAGATTCAATAGCGAGCATTGAGTTTTAGAAGTGAAAGATTTCACTTCACAACCACTCAACATAGCAAATTTTACCTGCACCAGTTGTAAAGGTTGTAAGTTTTATCTTGTTTTAAAGTAATACTAAGTTTTTCTTTTTTTTTTATTGTTTTACCTGCTGATAGTTGGATGGGCCTGTGAAATTATTGAATTTTGATGCTTTCGTTTAAATGTGAAATTTTGTATTTTAATTGGCAGTAGATTTTAATATTTATTTTATACTTGGCATTTACGTGCAACTTATTTTTTTTTTAATAATAATGTATATTTTACATATTATTATGTAGTATCTCAATAAATGTGGTTGTAGATAGTATGTAAGTGTATGCAGTTGAACTTTTTTCTTTGGTGATCTCGGACTTTGCCGAAACTTATCTCTGGCATACTTACACCCAACAATACTCAAAAAAATAATATTACATCACAATGTTTTTATTTTAAATGAATTTTTGATGTTGAACCGTACAGGTATTTTTTTCGAGGTTCTATCAATGAAATACTTAAAAGAATAAAGCCTGAAAAAAAAATGTTATTAGGTTAATACACTTAAATATAATTAAACTGAAAAATCTGTTTTTTAAATGTATTCTGAACTATAACAACACTTCGTTAAATGTTCTGTTTTAATTAGCTGGTTATTGTTGAGAAAGGTGTGAATTTCAAAATTATTAGGATTGCTCTTTATGTGATTAATTGTAGACGAACACACACAGCGATATTTATAGGAAAATCTAACAAATTTGTACACGGAATGCCTTATACATCTCTCTTTCTTTTGGACTTTAATCAGTATTATTTTTCTTTTTGTCAGCACATATTTTGATAAAATTATATTTATGAAGAATACACAGTATATCTAGTATTCAGTACACTATGTATCTTAACCATTAGCCAACTATGCCACCCGAGCATGACACGAACTCGTGTATTGCGGGTGAAGGCGTTATCTCGGACTAATTAATTTTATTAATATCGACACGGAGGTGTTGCGACTACCAACCATACGAGACCTACCATTCCCTCTTTATCTCATATAACTTCAGATTCTGAAAGAGAATTTATCGGAACTAGAGAGGTCTGATTATGTTAGTCCAATGTACCAAGTGACGTATAGTGATTTACTTGCATACGATAAATCGGTTCGTACATTCATTACAGGCAGAAATTTGATAATCGTATTTGATAGAACGATTCCATAATTCGTAACTAAAAGTTACGAGTTACGGAATCGATTTCACGATTCACGATAAGCAAACATTTTAATATATTTATAAACCATGATTTTTCGCAATTAACGAATAAGTTTAAAGATGAGTTTAACGTGATGTAGATCTCTTTTTTCATCGCTCAGATAATCAGACTCTCCGTAGTTAAGAGAAATCGCTCAATATGGTAGCCGGGTAAATAACAAAATGTGATACATAGCCAATCCTTAATTTATATTTACAATATTAGGTGTTTTCGTAACTTTTTTTATTTTTACTATCCCGTGTTATCAGACCTTGATTATCATTATTTTAAATAACATCTAGAACGCACAATAATATATAGTTTGAAATATGTAGAAACTTAAATAGTATAAAAATAAAATTAACACTGATAGTTACATAAATTATCTTGCCAATAATTCAATATTCAAAGTGATATTTCAAGTTCAAATATCACAGCTTGGCGGATCATCAGGAAGAGGGTAGAAAATTGCACGATGCTCTCTGTACATATGTTTACACGAACGTGCGAAGAAATATTCCAAGGATATGATTTCTTTACAGGTTACAGAAACACACCGTTAAGAAAGTAACTATGAAAATGTTAGTTTTCTTAGGAATTCAAACAAAAATAACTATTTTAAGTGTTACCATAATTATTTTACAGTCTTTTCATTATTTAGTTTAAAACAATCTTTTTTGCACTTCCTTTCCCCGCTACGATCAAACATTAAGAAGAAAATTGAAGTTTTCAATATCTATGCCATTAAATTGAATTGAATGAATTTAAAAGATGCTGTGTATAGTTTTTGATGCCTCTTTTTACTTATCTGATTTCAAACTTTAATAATATAAATCATTAAAAAGAAGTTGATACGACTTCAAACAATACTAACAAAGAGCTCTAAAAACCAAGCAGCAACTGCGGTTGATTTGCTGTAATTTTTTTGTTTGTCTCCGAAACTCATGATCAGATCTACATGAAATTTAAATGGGACTATTTCGGAATAAACCACTTTTGAACAAAAAAAGAATTTTGAAAATGTATCTATATATGGAGTTATGCCCGAACAAATATTAAAAAAAAAAACATTTGAATTGATAACCTCCTCCTTTTTGAACTCGGTTAAAAAACTTTAGTTACTTTGATTGTTGTAAGTTTTATAAGGATCTGTTCTGGTCTAAGAATGTGTTCTTTGGGTACCTTACTGATTTTGATTGAGAAAAGATACTTAATATCTTGATTAATTTATGTAGTCAAAAAATTACAACAAAAATCTTTTTATGTTCGATCATATCAAAAATAAACGAGGAAAAACACCATTCTGATACGCGATCAAAAGAAAAACATTTTAGTACATCAGTAAAGTTGCAACGCAGGTGTCGCTAACTTGAGCAGAAGGGGACCCTCCTACGGATTTTTTGTCGATTTAGACATAAACACCGCTTAAGACTTGCCGACTGTTATATCTGCCATGTTATTGTATATGTATAAATATACTTATACTGCTATAGAGGGTGCAGTAACACTCGCAGTAAGTGTGGGTATGCAACATTGTCGGTTTAAGTTAAATATTTAATACGTTTTTCACAAGCGAAAAATAAATCATGGAAAATCATCATGGAAATAAATCTTGATAAATTATCACTAAAGAAATAAGTACAGTTGTACCTATTGTATTAAGTGATAAATATTTATTAGCTATCAGACTAGCTTATAAAGTTTTTTTACTTCTGTGGGCTTAAAAAGGTGTGTTTTGGGGATTCTGAAGTTCTTGTCTCAATTTATCGAATTTGTATTTCATTTTCTTTTGTTAATTAATGACTTTGTAGCAATGTGGATAGTTAAAGTTTTCTACACATGTCATGTAGATATCTTCTATACCAATAGCACAGTATTTAGTTCTGTCAGTGAGTTTTCTTAGTTAGTAGAGACACCAGCAGTAGTATTACATATTTTGATTTCTACTATTCTTAGATATTCATTGCTCTCAACCACACCTTGGTCATGATTTATGCACCCCTACGTTCACACATACACATTCCTATAGTACCTACACAAGTCGCCACAAAGTGATGTCAGCCCTCGTAGGCATTGCGCCTACGACGTAGCCGTAGCCATATCTACATTTTTGTGAAAATGCAGCAGCTACTTGAATGAAGCGAATGAAGAAATAAAGAACAATGATCTGAACACAATATTTTTTTAGTCTGTGCCGTTATTTTAGTGAAAATTAAGAAAAAAGCTAAGAATATGAAGAAATACCTATATTTACTAGGCACAATTGTTTTTGCGTTCGCAGCTTTCAGTTTTTCAATCTTATCTGTCTTAAGATCTTCCGCTCAGAAGATTAAAATTATTTTTACAGATTAGATATTCACCAAATTTTTATGTGTAAATATGTATATATTTGTAAAATATTTAAAAGATTTTCGTTTGTAGAATCCTTCGCACAAGCTCTAATTAGTTTGCCCCTGGAAAACGCTAAATTGTAATATTATTTTATATATATATATATATATATATATATATATATATAAAGCAAAACATTATAATTATCCGAGATTATCATGTGGCAGATCATCTAATTTTATTTAGTGAAAGTAATGGCAATACCAACACCCCACAACTGTGTTGTTGCCCTTGAATACACTCTTTTCTTAAAGGTTTATATTTTGTTAGGTTTTTAAATTAAACAGCTATGAACTTTGACTAAAAGACATAACATTTTATTTAAACTTAATCGTATGTATTTCTAAAGTTTCACGTATCTATACAAGTTTTATAATTTATTACATGAACTTAATATCGTTACATAGGTTGTGGGAAGCAGCGGGCCCTATTAACGTCGCGTAAATACCTTGAGGGCACACAGTTTATCAGAGTGTATTGTCGTTTCCTACAAATATCCGCCATCAGCGGTTAG